CTTCACACCTGCAAAGTGTAAAGTGCTACTGCAAGATTGGGTGGGCTCAAACCCTAGCCTCATGCTTGCGGATGAACCGATTGAGGTAGTAGACAAATTTGTTTACCTGAGCAGCTGTATCAGTCCCGGTGGTCTCACGAAAGATGATATTTCCATCCGCATTGGGAAGGCCAGAACAGTTTTTGCGAACCCACGTCACCCGTGGCGTAGGCATGACATCAGCTTCTCTGTCAAGGGTCGAGTTTATAATGCCTCGGTGCGCTCCATATTACTATATGGATCAGAAACATGGCCGCTGCGCGCCAAGGACGTCAAAAGACTTTCTGTGTTTGACCATCGATGTCTTCGGAGCATTGCCCGAATCTGGTGGGAACACCGGATCAGTAATTCTGAGGTACGTCGAATGGTATTCGGGAGAAATAACTCACCCTCGATAGATGAACTGATCACTGCACAGGTTGCGTTGGCTTGGCCACGTGCTGCGTATGCCAGTCGACCGACTTCCTCGAAGGGCTCTTTTCGCCCAACCATGTGAAGGGTGGAAGAGAGCCAGAGGCGGTCAAACAATGACTTGGCAGCGAAGTATGAAGGCCATTACCAGCAAACTCAGCTGAGCTGGCCACTGCCGTCTTCCTCGATGGTGACCCCGAGACGGGCCACATCAATGGCTAAAGACATTATCAGACATGGCCCAATCGCGCCCTCAATGGCGCTCATGCATCAAAGCTATTGCCTTCAATGCATAGCTCCTTTTCCACACACACCCTTCCCCGCTTGACAACCCACTGACAGTGCTGGATTTATGCACCAATTTACCAGCTCGCGCGTGCAATGCGCAGCTACCTACCCCCTCCTCCCAATCATCGGTGAACGAAACTGTGGCAGCTACAACCAGTGTACGACGAGTACGCGGTTCTTACATCTGACAATGATGATGATGATGATGACCTTGTTTGTGTCGTAGGCTAGCCCTAGGTCCTCTCTCTGTCCCATGTTTCCTTCCTTTGTAAGGATTTGCTCAAATGAACTGACGTGTCCGCGTTAGTGAAGTACCAGTGTTCTCCTCCGGTGTTACTGCCAATGAAGATGGTAGTAGGCGAGCACCTGTTCAATTCCTCGTACCATCCCTTTCATCTTAAGACTAACTATAATTAAGTGAACTTCGTGGCTGCATGGCAGCGAAGCGTCTCTGAGGATGATAGTCACATCACCCGTTGGATGTTCTTATAGCATCGAAAACCAGCCTGCCGTTAGCGGATGGCTTTTGACTGAATAACTGGACCGAACTACTCCAGTTACTTTTGGATTACCGACACAATTATGTCTTTTTTAGTGTATGTTAACCGGAGAAATTCTCCAATCAGGCTGCTAGTTAGTCTTATTGTTTAGTGACCTGAAACTGCATTTGGTTCTCTTTAGCTCTTTTAACCATGGATGCACAACTTCAGGAACAAGTGTTACAGGAGCTACAACGTCAGCGCTTTCACCAACTGAGCCAGCAACTAACTGCGACCTGCTGGGACAGATGCGTTGGTAGAATTGCTGCCTCCCTGGATACGAAAGCTAGAAGTTGCATTGAGAACTGCGTACAGCGGTACATTGATGTATCCGGACTGATAACAAAACAACAAAACGCGATGAAATTGACCTTTGCCGATGTAGAACCCCCGAGCTAAACAAATAAATCTGATTTTTTTCTTGCGTTATTCTTACATACTACGCCAACTTTTTATTTTGAGCTCTTTTTTAGATGGTTCTACCAGGTGTCCCCTCAAGGTATCCTTTGTTTCTCTTGACGTTCGCAATCGCTTTTACAGATTTTACAGAAGTTTTCTCGCAATGTCGCCACTCGGACAGGTAAGATGTCAGTCGTTTGTTGAATTTTTTGTAGTCCTTTGTCCGTTGTTTGAGCGAGCGGACTTCTGAATGTGGAATAACGAATATTCAAGATGAGGCGGATTTCCAGAAGCGAGTTATCAACAACCAGAAGCCTGTTCTGGTTGATTTCCACGCCACCTGGTATGTAATGTTTCATTAGAGTTTGGTTTCGGCAATTAGAGGCTGACTTTTTAAAGGACTTTGCTTTACCGTAACAACAATAGACTCGTGAACATAGTTCAGCCTTAGAAGAGCTTTCTTTTGATCAGACATGATAACCAGTATCAGGTGAAAAGTGTCTGTTATCCTATCATGAATTCACCGTTGCTTTGACCTTCAACCAGGGGTCATGTGGTCGCATTTTCTTCACTTTTTTCCTCCGGTTTATGCGACGTGTACTTAAATCCGGCTATTTGTACTTTGTCTTCGAGCAAGTATGTACCACCAGGTGTGTGTGTGTGTGTGTGTGGGCATACACAAGCATAATTTTTCACATCCGAAAGGGTTTGACCACGTTATAGCGTTCGTCTCCTTTACTTAACATTCACATCCGGAATACTGTTGACTCACGCAGTTCGGTCTGAAAAACCCACCATCAACCGGCGTTATACCTTTTTGTATTTTTACTTTGAACTGCGTGGACGTGTCCTTGATAAAGAAGGCAAGGCCGCCTATGATCCTCTACGGTTTGCCATTAGGATGAGTGAATCAGGTGTGGTTCATAATTTACAAGCATTATGCTACCAAAGATATAACGTTCAGTTTATCAGCCATAAACCATGCACCGTGGGTACATTGGTTTCGACTGCTGTAGTTTCGATCACCTGAAAGTGAGAGCTAAGCATAGGAGGTGGCGGTATGCGCATTCAGTTCGAGAACGGGGTAGCCACTCATTTAAGGCTGTAGCTTTGACGCATCAGTGTCACTAACTGTGTCATTGGTCGATTTTTGCTAGTGTCATTAACCGTTGGTGAGTTTAGTCCGACGACGCAGAGGGTAAGGCATTACTGTCTCACTTCTAACGTGGCAATACACAGCAGGTGCCTTTGATTAGCACCGGACTCTTGTTTCAAAAGTATTGAATGATGCACCGGCAGGCACGTTCAACCGTTTGGTGATGGGAATGTGCGGTTTTTAGGGCCGACTTTTTGTAACTCATCTTTCCTCAGTATAACTTTCCATAAATATGGTTGTACTGATCACCTGGAGAAAATGCTTTACCGTTTTCACACTCCTATCACAGAGTACAGTACGACGTCAACTCCAGACTGCCCCGTAACGCACTTTCTCGCAGTGTTTTTCACACTTCACAGAGTACAGTACGACGTCAACTCCAGACTGCCCCGTAACGCACTTTCTCGCAGTGCGGTGACCCGCTGTTATCTTCCTTCCT